GTAGAGATGCGTAGTTGTGGCGCCGTTGGCTTTCACTGTTACTGGTCATGTCTAGAAAGAATGTGTGGTGTTGTATGCAGGTCATGTCTTCTTTCCAGGGATAATACATCCTCAGACTTGAAATGTATTTAGTTTTTTATCAAATTAGCATGTGAGTGCACGTACACAAGTACGCACACACACATACACTATATATATATATATATATATATATATATATATATATATATATATATATATATATATATATATATATATATATAATGTGTGTGTGTGTGTTTACTAGTTGTGTTTTTGCGGGGGTTGAGATTTGCTCAACCCCCGCAAAAACACAGTGTGTGTGCGTATGACTGTATACAAGAGTGTGAGTCACTTGAGTGGAGGTGTGAGGAGGCAGATGAGGCCCACTACTAACGGAGCTTCCTCACCTTCCCTCACCTTCCCTCACCTTCCCTCACCCTCCCTCACCCTCCCTCACCCTGGTAGTGGGCCTGACCTGCAGGAAGGCAACACCCAACTGGAAATTGACAGGATATTACTCAAGGTTCATTAGAATATCGGCAAATTATTTGAACCTAGTACAGCCACCTATTACCACCACCTAGCACAGTGTGTCAATATATTATGGTCGAGTTTCAGCATGGCCATATATCATGGCCATATATCATGGCAATATAGCATGGAGTTCCTCCTCTGCTGAGTCTGGAGTAATTAGGACACACATCCTTGTAAAACCTGAGAGCCTTCCAGGCTAAGACTAAAGACACGTGGTAACAGTGTACCAAGACTTCCAAAGAAAGCGTAAATATGATTCAAATTAGCCTTAGAACAGGTGTGTGTATCGGAAGAGATGAGGAGTGAGGATGGGGGTAGAAGGAGGAGGCACGCCCCTTGAGCACACATCATCCATCACATCTGAATAATCATCAACTCCCGTCAGAATGGCTGCTCCTCCAGTGTACACAGGAAGATGACAAAAAAATGGCGAGTGTGGAGGAGAGTGGGTGTCGGTGGGGGACGACGTATGCCAGCCGGGCGACAGGCCAGGTGGTTGGGCGGCCTCCATCCATCACTCTCCTCTCATCAACCTGTCCGCAACACGCCCGCCGCTAGACAATCTTGTTCGATTGTTTGACGCCCCGTACTGTTAAGTTCACCACTTGTCTCTCATTGGCAGCACGGTAATGTCTCGCGTTTGCTGCTGCTACTGCTGCTGCTTTGTGGGGGTGTGGGGGCGTGCTGCTTGGTGGGGGGGGTTGTGGGGGGTGTGGGGGTGTGGGGGCGTGCTGCTTGGTGGGGGTGGTTGTGGGGGTGTGGGGGCGTGCTGCTTGGTGGGTGTGGTGGGTGATGGGGGTTGTGGTGGGGGTGTGGGGCGTGCTGCGTGGTGGGTGATGGGGGTTGTGGTGGGGGTGTGGGGGCGTGCTGCTTGGTGGGGGTGGTTGTGGGGGTGTGGGGGTGTGGGGGCGTGCTGCTTGGTGGGGTGGTGGTGGGGGTGTGGGGGGTGTGGGGGCGTGCTGCTTGGTGGGGGTGGTTGTGGGGGTGTGGGGGTGTGGGGGCGTGCTACTTGGTGGGGGTGGTGGTGGGGGTGTGGGGGCGTGCTGCTTGGTGGGTGTGGTGGGTGATGGGGGTTGTGGTGGGGGTGTGGGGCGTGCTGCTTGGTGGGTGTGGTGGGTGATGGGGTTTGTGGTGGGGGTGTGGGGCGTGCTGCTTGGTGGGTGATGGGGGTTGTGGTGGGGGTGTGGGGCGTGCTGCTTGGTGGGTGCGGTGGGTGGTGGGGGTGTGGGGCGTGCTGCTTGGTGGGTGATGGGGGTTGTGGTGGGGATGTGGGGCGTGCTGCTTGGTGGGGGTGGTTGTGGGGGTGTGGAGCATGCTGCTTGGTGGTGGTGGGGGTGTGGGGTAGTGGTGGTTGTGGGGGTGTGGAGGAAGTAAGGATGGTGCAGTCCGTCCTGCAAAAATGGGGAGATAAATGTAACAGCCCCATAAGTGCAATTATGTACTATGTATGGCAGTCAGGAAAAGTACTTATTACACTTAGTATTAAAACGTAGTGTCAGTTCGGCGGAGGAAGTAAGGACGGAGAGGAAGTTCAGGTGGAGGAAAGGGAAGAGGTGCCAAGACTGGCATCATGAGTCCCAGTGTATGGAGAGAAAGAGACACAATGTTACTAACGAGAGAACGAGGATGAAAGGTAATATTATAATAGCATAAGTATAATATGAACGAGTACAACTTTACTATAAAGCTCTCTAAAATATTATTATTATTATTATTATTATTATTTTAAGAATTATTATTAATTTTATTTTCATTTTTAGTATGTATTTAGTGGAGTCAGTAGGGTCTCAGGTTGAATAGCTTGGGTGGTGTCGTGGCCGAGACGATTAAGGGAGAAATGTCTTGTACTCAACCAGGAATGCTGGTAGTGCTCCAACTGATTTACTCTAGGCTCCCCAGGCATGTTAATATAGATATATATATATATATATATATATATATATATATATATATATATATAGATATATATATATATATATATATATATATATATATATATAAAATGTAGTTATACTATTTTGTTATTTCCGGCAGGTGATGGCTTCACACACACACACACACACACACACACACACACACACACACACACATACACACACACACACACACACACACACACACACACACACACACACACACACACACACAAACACACACACACACACACACACACACACACACACACAACACACACACGCACGCACACACACACGTGGGTAATTTAATGCAAAACAAGCTTATTAGCAAAGTCCATGACCAATTACAGCTCTTAACATCACAAAATAACAACGAAAATCACCAAGTATATCACGGAATGCCAGAGTTGACCCGTGGAACTGTCGATGGCGAGTCTGGAGGCTTATTGGTGGAAATGTTGAGATCAATTTCATCATTTTGCAACAATGTCACCCCCATTAATGTTGTGCCCCACGGCAACACTATCACCCCCATTAATGTTCTGCCCCACGGCAACACTATCACCCCCATTAATGTTCTGCCCCACGGCAACACTATCACCCCCATTAATGTTCTGCCCCACGGCAACACTATCACCCCCATTAATGTTCTGCCCCACGGCAACACTATCACCCCCATTAATGTTCTGCCCCACGGCAACACTATCACCCCCATTAATGTTCTGCCCCATGGCAACACTATCACCCCCATTAATGTTCTGCCCCATGGCAACACTATCACCCCCATTAATGTTCTGCCCCATGGCAACACTATCACCCCCATTAATGTTCTGCCCCACGGCAACACTATCACCCCCATTAATGTTCTGCCCCATGGCAACACTATCACCCCCATTAATGTTGTGCCCATGGCAACACTGTCACTCAGTTGCCACCTCCACCTCTCATTTAGTTACTCCCAATTTCCGCTATCATACTGCTAGTTAGGTGTCGCTATACCCCATAGGAACCCCTTTCTCTCCCCCTACACACAGTCATTTCCGCCCCCTCCTCTATAGTTCCCCTCATCCACTCTCGCAATACTGTCATATTCCTGCACTCTCCAGAGCTCATTTACACTCCTGACTCGAGTAACTAATGATGCGTTTCGTTGACGCTCGCAGCATCTTCAGCGGCAGAGAAGGAGTAGATACACATTAGCAGGTTGCAGTGTATATGTAATATTTAAGAGTCATATGACAAGATTTTATGTGAATGCTCTTTATTCACTTCCACGAGCCTATGAGTCCCCAACCCATAAGTGGCACCAGAGGTGGTACCCCTATTATTAATATATATATATATATATATATATATATATATATATATATATATATATATATATATATGTGTGTGGGTGTGTGTGTGTGTGTGTGTGTGTGTGTGTGGTGTGTGTGTGTGTGTGTGTGTGTAATGACGTGTGGAGTACATACGACACTTAAGGATGGCACAGGAGACGCTACTACCAACCACGAGGATATATAATTGGAAATCATATACCTAACCCAACCAAACCTAACCAAAACCTGGCTTAACCTATCTGAGCCTAACTTAACCTAACCCAACTTACCGGTAAACTAACCCTAACATTATCTATCCAAATTGGATCTATCCTACCTAAACTTGACCTATTTTAACTTAACCAATCCTAGCCTAACACTCTTCCTTAGTCGCAAACATGATCAAATAAAATTGGGGGGGTGAACGGTCGCCGACGGGTTCTTCTACACTCTCTTGAGACTGATCATGTGCGGGTGACACACCACGGTCGTGTGTGTGCGAGAAAGCGAGATATAAACCAAACTCCTCCCCAGCGACCCCCGCTAGTCAATATAATCCCCACAACGAACCCAACCACCACCGCTAAAAGCTTGTTCCTCGCTCTCAAACATTATTTCCAATTTAAAAAATGTGGCGTCCAGAAAAAACAAACATTGTGCGGTTTTCCGTAGCTCCCCCCACAAAAAATCCAATGTCCTTTATACAACAATTTTGTCCTTTACAACAACGAACTGCTGGTCAAATGGCTTCGTCAGCTTTTAAGCGGTGAGAGACGCTGTACCTGAGCGAGACAATACTCGGAATTTAGTTGAAAACAAAATCCTTCATTTCAAAATGTTGCTTCGAAAATGTTTTATTATAAATAATACTTGTTTGAGTGGTGCCAACCACGACCCCAGTCATGTTGGGTACATACCCAACAATTATTACTGTAAAGAGGGTAAGGCTAGAACCTCCCCCCCCCCCAAGTGTCCGGCCTCCAACTTCGAATATTCTAATTCAGATATCTTTTTGTGACATTTACTTAGGATTTTTTTTTCAAATCTCCCACTTCTCCTGCATCTCACCTTGTTCCTTCTTCTTCTTCCTCTTCTTTTCATCTTCATTATCTCCAGACGACTCGGTAACACATTTCTTAAGCCAACCCATCGCGCATTTTTCGACTCCTCTCGCTCATATTATCCCATCTTTGAAGAATCTATCTTCGTCCTATCTTCGAAGAACTAAAACTGTGTACTTACTCGAGGCATCTCCATCCTTGTCGACTTTCTTGATGTCGTCGTCATCCTTGTCTCCGGGTTCCTTCTCGTCGTCGTCGTCGTCGGAGAGCTTGGCGTCATCGTCGTCCGTCTTGTTGCGAGGTTCCCACGTCATCTTGTTCTCCTTCTTCAGCCGCCGGCGGGCGTTGGCGAACCACGTCGACACCTGCGGCAGGGAGGGAGAGAGGTGAGGGACGGTGAGGGAGGGGGCTGAGGATGGGTGACCACCTGGTCCACCCGAAGGTGCCACTACACCCCATCATCTACCATGTCTACCACTACTCCCCATCATCTACCATTGGCTACCACTACACCCCATCATCTACCATTGTCTACCACTACACCCCCTCATCTACCATTGGCTACCACTACACCCCATCATCTACCATTGTCTACCACTACACCCCATCATCTACCATTACACCCCATCATCTACCATGTCTACCACTACACCCCATCATCTACCACTACACCCCATCATCTACCATTACACCCCATCATCTACCATGTCTACCACTACACCCCATCATCTACCATTACACCCCATCATCTACCATGTCTGCCACTACACCCCATCATCTACTATTTTCTACCACCACCTGTTACATGCCACAATCCATCAGTATATCACCACTCCAGTTCCCTCAACTAAATCCCCCGCCCCTCACCAAGCCCATCAACCCTCCCCTCAGCAAGCCCATCACCCCTCCCCTCACCAAGCCCATCACCCCTGCCCTTCCCCTCAGCAAGCCCATCAACCCTCCCCTTCCCTCTCACCAAGCCCATCAACCCTGCACTCAGCAAGCCCATCAACCCTCCCCTCAGCGAGCCCATCACCCCTCCCCTCACCAAGCCCATCACCCCTCCCCTCACCAAGCCCATCACCCCTCCCCTCACCAAGCCCATCACCCCTGCCCTTCCCCTCAGCAAGCCCATCACCCCTGCCCTCCCCTCACCAAGCCCATCAACCCTCTCCTCAGCAAGCCCATCACCCCTCCCCTCACCAGCCCATCACCCCTGCCCTTCCCCCTCACCAAGCCCATCACCCCTGCCCTCCCCTCACCAAGCCCATCAACACTTCCCCCCTCTCACCAAGCCCATCACCCCTGCCCTCCCCTCACCAAGCCCATCAACACTTCCCTCCCTCTCACCAAGCCCATCACCCCTGCCCTCCCTCTCACCAAGCCCATCACCCCTGCCCTCCCCCTCACCAAGCCCATCACCCCTGCCCTCCCTCTCACCAAGCCCATCACCCCTGCCCTCCCTCTCACCAAGCCCATCACCCCTGCCCTCCCCCTCACCAAGCCCATCACCCCTGCCCTCCTCCTCACCAAGCCCATCACCCCTGCCCTCCCCCTCACCAAGCCCATCACCCCTGCCCTCCCCCTAACCAAGCCCATCACCCCTGCCCTCCCCCTCACCAAGCCCATCACCCCTGCCCTCCCTCTCACCAAGCCCATCACCCCTGCCCTCCCTCTCACCAAGCCCATCACCCCTGCCCTCCCCTCACCAAGCCCATCACCCCTGCCCTCCCCCTCACCAAGCCCATCACCCCTGCCCTCCCCCTCACCAAGACGTACCTGGGTGAGCGTCATCTTGGTAATGATAGCCAGCATGATCTTCTCCCCCTTGGTCGGGTAGGGGTTCTTCTTGTGCTCGTTCAGCCACGCCTTCAGCGTCGCCGTCGACTCCCTGGTGGCGTTCTTCCGGCGGGCCGCGAGGTCGTATCCAGCTCCGTATCTGTAGAAGGCGAAGAAGATGGTGTCAAATGATGGGTGGGTTAGTGACGGTGACCTAATACAGTCGTTAATCACTTTCTTGAAAAGGAGAACAATCAACAGAGATAACAGGAGGGTGATTGGTTGAATTGTACACTGGTTTTAAACAATGTAGATGTTTTGGATAGGCAGGAAACATGAGAAATTATAGTACGAGAAAGAGAGAGAGAGAGAGAGAGGGGGAATTATGAGGAGGAAGCACCTAGCCATTACGACTATATAGCACTATATAGCACGAGAGAGAGAGAGAGAGAGAGGGAATTATGAGGAGGAAGCACCTAGCCATTACCACTATATAGCACGAGAGAGAGAGAGAGAGAGAGAGAGAGAGAGAGAGAGAGAGAGAGAGAGAGAGAGAGAGAGAGACAGACAGACAGACAGAGATTGTAAACCGCACATAAACAGATCACTATAAAATACAAACAAAGGCAAGACAGAGAACAGCCAAGAGTGTATGCAAACAACAAAACAAAATTTCAAAGGGTGTATAAGCACGAATAAGCATTAGAATCTGACAGTAAACAAAAGAAAACGTTCAAATCCAACACAAGCCACGAAATAAAAATAAAAATAGTATCTCGAAGGCCTGAATTTTAAAAGCAAAGTCGAGTTCTCTGACGAAAACTGGAGAACAAAGCCCCTAGGGCAAATTGCGTCGAGGATCCCCACGAAAAATTTTGAACATCGGAGTAGTTTGGGGACCATGTTTGATAGGCTTTCTGCTTTATTACTCGTGAACACTGAACAACTGAACACCTTAACACATCGCCGGATACACGACACTGGACGCTGGTCCATTAAGAATACAATGCCGATGGTTGTACACGGGCCGCAACGCCTCTAACACAAGGCACTCAACAACAAAATTCTGAACACTACATTCGAACGCGTCACATAAGCACGAACCACAAACACACACCCACGTACACACACCCATGCGCGCACACCCATGCGCGCTTACACCCCCGCACACACACCCATGCGCGCACACCCATGCGCGCTTACACCCCCGCACACACACCCATGCGCGCACACACCCCACACATAACTAACATAAGACCTGCCTGTAGAAATTTGTGCAAGGAATAATTTTGACCCCTTGTATATCACATATATCAGCTCAGTCCTAGAGTATGCAGCGCCAGCCTGGAGTCTTTATCTAGTCAAGCACAAGGCGAGTTGGAGAAGGTTCACAGTCATGCCGCAGACTAGTCCCAGAACTACGAGGTATGAGTTACGAGTAAAGGCTACATAAATTGAACCTCAAGTCACTGGAAGACAGGAACGTGAGGGAGAGACATGATTACCACATACAAGATTCACATGGGAATTAATAATAGGGTAGATAAAAAATGAGACTATTTAGCACGGGTGGTACTCGCACAAGTGGAAAGTAAGTACCCAAATGAGCTTGAGACATTAGGTAGAATGTTTAAAGTGTCAGGATAGTTAAAATATTAAATGCACTTAGGAGTGATGTCGTGGAAGCAGCCTCCATACACAGTTTGAAATGTAGTTATAATAGTACCCAATAGGCTCCGAAATCTGTCTTCAGTTGATTGATATATTAGAAGAGGGACTAAAGAACTGAAGCTCAACCACGCAAGCACAATTAGGTGTGTCCACACACACGCACCGGAATCCACCACAGAACGGATGTACCGAGAGCCGGATACTATTAGTTCAAGCATAAGTATTACAATCAATTACATTACGGAATAACGCAAATGAGATGAGCCGGCGGGCTTGGGGTGGCTTGGGACGCCTGGCGCTGGAAGCATGGTTCCTGGCCGCCTCCTGGTCTTCCTTAGGACCAGGAGCAGGCCTCCTCCTCCTCCTTAACTGTTCCTTCCTCGAGGGGGAAGAGACGGAAACAGAAAACGGGAAAAGAGATTATATGAGCAAGAGAGAAAAAAATATAAAAGCAAGGAAGATGATGATAGACACAAGATAAACCAGAGAGCCAAAGCAAGGGAAGGCGGGAGGCAGCAGCAGCAGCAGCACTCTCCAGTGGTCAGCGGTCCAAGAGGTATAATCTAGGTTGATGCGACTGTTATGGCCGCTGTATAAAAGTGGGTAGCCCGCCTGGGGGCTGTTTCACGCTACATAAACGGCAGATGTATTGTGTCGCGCCCTGTATTCTCCCCTACCCACTCCCCCATCCCCCCACACGAGAAGTGAGAGGAGGAGGAGGAGAGAGAGAAGTAGAAATGGGATAAAGATATGTGTAGGTGATGTTCTCATAGGCGCGTCACACTCATTAACTCACACACGTATTAACACACTAATTATAAATCTCACTAACACTGACTTACTAACACACTCATTTCTCGTTAGGTTAGCTCATTCAGACATCACCACTCGTCATCAGAGAAGCGAGGCTCCCCAGCGAATCCCTGTTCTGAATCTTCTCTTATCCCACCGTTTATTGTAATGTTTTTCTTCCCCCTCTCCTACAGCTCCTTCTACTGTTATTATTCCTGCTCCTGCTGCTGCTCCTGCTGCTGTTGCAGTCTCTACACTCCAGCTGGCCGGCCACTCAGCCTGCATAATAGACAGCGCATCATTTAGCCGTGCACAATTGATCATCACAGAGGGCGCTTGTGTCATAACTGTTCCCTGCCATCTCATGCCACTTCGATGCAAATAGTTTCGTCAATTTGGTTAATATTTAAATTGATAACACCAAGGAAATGGTTGGGGTTACTGGAGTGTGGAACGGGTGGCAAGCCCTCCGCCCCTTAGTGAGCTCAGTCCGGCCTCCTCGGCTCCTTGGCTCACCCAGGCCTGATTAATATTCATATGAATTTGAAGGGTTTATCTCCAGGGTTTCCGGCCGGGCGCACTAATTTCTGGCGGCCGCTATTATTCTACCAATTTTCCAGTGGATCAATCAAGAACATTGGGGCCCAAACTTGGTGGTTTACCGTTTGGAAGGAGCGGCGCCTCTTCGCTCTGGAACATGGCGCGCTTGTTCTTATTACTGGAATGTGAGACTCGCTTATGACTGGAAATATTTCTTCTTTTAACTTTTGGAATTTAATAATCCTTGACGATAAAAAAGAAGTTTGGTTATTACTTTAGCTCAGTGTTGAATATATGCACCACCACCACCACCACCACACCCGTAAACATCAGCTCAATAATTTGGGTTTAAGTTTCCAGACCGGTGCCTTGATCTCTGACAGTTATAGAAATGGCATCCGTTTCTGATTCAGCGAGGAGACTGTCCAGTGTGTGTGTGTGTGTGTGTGTGGACTCGGCGGCTTCCTTCCTCCCCACTTTACCCTCGTTCATCTCCCCTCTCATTCTCCTCCTCCTCCTCCTCTACGTCGCCTCGTTTCCTGTGAGGTCGCACAAACGATCATTCAACGAGACATTTATATGGGCGGAGAACGGCCGCTCCATTTGGCGGTCCCCAATACTTCCTCTGGGCACCGGCTGGAAAACCGCTGGAAAATGGAAAGCTGTCGGGTGTCCAAGAGGAGGGTGGAGTAGGGGTTCCCCCTGAAACGTAAAATGACACAACTGATGCTCTGAAAACTCCTGGAAAATTAAAAGCTCTCTGTTTCCCACGAGAATAATGTGACGATCTGGAATGATGTTTGAAGATTGGATAATACTGGAAACCTCTGTAAAACAGCAAGCTGTTGCCTTATCCTTGAGTGGAGAGCAGGTTGCCTGGGAACACTTGATGCCGTGGTCACATTAACAAATACTGAAAATGTAAAGTTGTTGGTCATCCTCGAGAGTGAAGAGAAGGCCGCCTGGAACTCTGGTTAATGCCGGAGATATTCTAAGGACCTCTGGAAAGTGAAAAGCGTACGGTCGTCAAGAATTGGGAATGGGTTGTCTTGAACGCTGGTTATGTAAAGATTGCTTTAACAGCTTCTGGAAAATTAAACGCTGTCGCCTGTCCAGATGGAACGTCGGGATGTTTTAGAATTGACTGAAAAATAGAAGTTTCCGGCTTCCAGGAAGAGGGTGTGAAGATGACAGCCAGGATTATTGGTTGAGGGAGAAAATGCAATAGCTACTGCTGGAAAATGGACAACTGTCAGCCGCTCAGGAAAGTAGGATGAACGTGGCCTGGAACACAACTTGACCCTCCGAGACGCCTCAATAGTGTTACGACAGTCCGGAGAAGAGTAGTGAGAAGGGCGTCTGAAATTGGCAGTGATAACATGAACATTTTGGAAACTTTTGGAAAACAAAGCGTCATTATAGAGAGAGCTAGAAAGACAACAGCACATAATACTGGTTGACGCCACGGGCACTCTGAAAACTACTGGACTATCATTCGCCTCCAGTCTAGGAGTAAAATGTATTACGTGTTGGTGGTGGGATGGTGTATGATCCTGTGAGTGACTGTTGTTTTAACCCGTTGCCTTTAACTTAAGGTAAGAAAACAACATTAACCTCTTAATGTTTGGTTTAGTGTGTGTGGTGACCACTCACAGTACATGTAGTGTGTGTGTGTGGTGACCACTCACAGTGTAGTGTGTGTGTGTGGTGACCACTCACAGTGTAGTGACCTTTCCTGGTCACCTCAACAGTCATCTCTTGTAATCAATGTTTAAGCATTTGCTCTACTTAGCCCTTAAAATATAAACACATATTTTAAGATGGTGAAAATTGTGTGAAGAGGAAGTGCAGAGGAGGGAGAGAGGATCGTAGGTGAGGATCAGTGACTCCACACCTAAGCCTCTTTGTAATCCTACATTTCATTTCTTTCATTATCAAAAGCCTATACTAACCCCCTCCACCACTTTTTTAAGTCTCACTCCCTGTCGTTTTCCTATTCATCCTATCCTTTCTTCAGACGCCATCAGTCTATTGCCTACCCATCACCATTCCTCCTGCAAATACCCCCTCCACTACCCCCCATCTCCGCAACCTCTATCCCCCCCCCCCTGCCCCACATAACCCGGGGAAACAAGCCCATTCGTATCTGACTTGGTAATGGGAAAAGTTGGTCTTGAATTTTGAGAATTATCACTCGTTTCGAACAGTGTGTCACAGTTAGCGTATCCCCCGACCTCTCCTGACTTCCCCTCTCACCCCTCCCCCCTCCCCCCTGGACCCTCATCCCAGTTCCTCCCCCTGATCCCCCTCTTCCCCCTGTTTCCCCTCTCCAACATTTTACATATCCTTAGGCATAGGAGTAGTGTGTCTAGGCCGTGAGTGTGTGGTGTGGGAGCCTGACTCGTGCTCCTGGAGCCTCGCCCTCCTCCCCCCCTCCCCCAACGCCTTCGGGCGGGGTCGCATCAATTTGGAAAGAGATCGAAGGTGAATGAAATGGCACGGAAAGGTTTAATTCATCTGTTTTCATTCATTATATATCAGCGGAGTGGAGGAAAAATGAAGGCCCAAGTTTGTAAGTAAGGAGTTTTGGTCAAAGTTTTTTAATGTCTAATCATAATTCAAGAAGGATTTTTCATTAGGAACTCCAGGAAAACTTCATCAAAGATTTATAACCCAAGTTTTAATTCCTTTTGCATTAAATGTTTTTAATTCCAACTGATGCTTTTTCCATGTGACGCTCCCAAAGACGAAACTTTAAACTTTGAAATTTATTTGGTGCTCAAACCCCGGGGTAATTATGCAGTATATCCCCCTCCTTGGCCTGGCAGCGGTTCCTAGGTCTTAAATCCGGATTCGTCTTAAATCCGGATCCGTCTCCAAGTTTTGCGCGAGCGAAAAACTATATCTCTCTTTTCCGACGCTGACTTAAGGCTCTATTATCTAAACTTAGTGTTTTTTTACGACTCTTTTTTTTTTTTTAAGGAAGTTATATATAGTGTTTTGTTTAATCTGTGATGATATATTTAGAGTATTGATGGTTCGCCCCGCGTCTTGTGTTGTGATTCACGGTTAGGTTGATGTTGTGTGTGTGTGTGTGTGTGTGTGTGTGTGTGTGTGTGTGTGTGTGTGGGAGATGTGTGGGAGATGTGTGTGTGTGTGTGTGTGTGTGTGTGTGTGTGTGTGTGTGTGAGATGTGTGGGAGATGTGTGTGTGTGTGTGTGTGTGTGTGTGTGTGTGTGTGTGTGTGGGAGATGTGTGGGAGATGTGTGTGTGTGTGTGTGTTTGTGTGTGTGTGTGTGTGTGTGTGTGTGTGTGTGTGTGTGGGTGATGTGTGTGTGTGTGTGTGTGTGTGTGTGTGTGTGTGTGTGTGTGTGTGTGTGTGTGTGTGTGTGTGTGTGTGTGTGTGTGGGAGATGTGTGGGAGCTGTGTGTGTGTGTGTGTGTGTGTGTGTGTGTGTGTGTGTGTGTGTGGGAGATGTGTGGGAGATGTGTGTGTGTGTGTGTGTGTGTGTGTGTGTGTGTGTGTGTGTGTGTGTGTGTGTGTGTGGGAGATGTGTGGGAGATGTGTGTGTGTGTGTGTGTGTGTGTGTGTGTGTGTGTGTGTGTGTGTGTGTGTGTGTGTGGGAGATGTGTGTGTGTGTGTGTGTGTGTGTGTGTGTGTGTGTGTGTGTGTGTGTGTGTGTGTGTGTGTGTGTGTGTGTGTGGGAGATGTGTGTGTGTGTGTGTGTGTGTGTGTGTGTGTGTGTGTGTGTGTGTGTGTGTGTGTGGGAGATGTGTGTGTGTGTGTGTGTGTGTGTGTGTGTGTGTGTGTGTGTGTGTGTGTGTGTGTGTGTGTGTGGGAGATGTGTGGGAGATGTGTGGGTAAGTTGGTGTGGGAGATGTCACGGTAAGTTGGTGTGGGAGAGTCAGGGTAAATTTGAACTTCAGTTATGACAAAGTAATCTTGTATCGTGGGATCTTAATTTGAAACATCTTGGTGAACTCTCAGCTCCTGGGCCTGGCACTCAACCATCAAGTGTATGGTAACACTGGTCTGTAACCAAAATGCTTCTGAAACCAATGAGGTCAATTTCGACTAATTCTGGGTCACTGAGAACGGAATTGATGTTGGAAATTGTTGATTAGCTCTAGCTTTCATCCAAGACGAGTCTTAAAGTAAAGTTGCAGTCCCCGTGGCGCAATGGTAAAACACTAGCTCGGCGCTTCGCTAGCGCTTTGGCCTGGGTTCGTATCCTGGCCGGGGAGGATTGACCGGGCGCCAATCCTTAACAGTAGCCTCTGTTCACCCAGCAGTGAATGGGTACCTGGTTGTTAAACGATTTGGCGGGTCGTATTCTGGGAAAAATTAAGATTAAGGACCTGCCCGAAACGCTACGCGTGATAGTGGCTTTACAAGACTGTAAGAACTTTTGTATATATAGATACAAAAATAAGCCTTTAGCTGCATAATGGTAGTTTTTTGCCATCAATTCCACTGGATTTTGCAACACATATTAGGGAAATTTATGACAACATGAAGCAGCTTTTGAGTTGCTCAAGAATGGTCAAGATGAGTGGCAGCTCTGAGGCGTCTTGAAGGGTGTTGCTGTTATGAGAGGTGGGCCGGGGGGTCACACGCAGTACTGTTGTGTGTGTGGGAGTGGGACAGTCGTGCGAGTTTTGTAGTTTAGTTCATTTATTATGCATCCCATACCCATCTTGTGGGCGGTAGTGGAAAGGGTTACAGAGGCACATAATGGGCTCAAGGACTGAACCCCACAATTCATCTAGCAAAGCAAGTTACAATCTTGATGAGCTAGTTACAAAATTCAGTATAAGTCGTCACATCATCAATGGGTTCGAGAGTGACCACAAGTACGTGCGAGAGAGGTTCACTATATCAACACACACTGGCCATTCCCTCCATCATTTGCACCCTGGGAGAAAAACGTTCAGCATCCGCCACTTGTTGAATCGTGCAAGATTGTGTAATTATGTAATTATTATTGTGTAAACCTAAACACATACAACAATAGCTAATGAGCAGTTTTGATTATTATACCTGAATCCAGCACGTCAAAATGCATAATAAATCGCTCTTTTCATCTTTGCAACAGACAATTTTTAATACGTTGTTGACCCGTGTCACTGTACTCTCTCTCTCAGCTTGTCGGATATGTCTTCAGATATAAAAATCAAGGACAGCATTTCACTATTAAAAATATAAGTAATGGTAATTTCTTCTCACAAACATAATATAGGATAAAATTACACAAGTGTCTGTTTTTACACTATTATTAATTTTATCGTGTTTTAATACCAACTCCATCCTCCTGTTTAGATAGTTCCTATTGTGACCATCGTCAATAGTCACGAATTCGTACGTACTTAGCTTTTAAATAGTAGTAAAGTTCCTGTACTAGTAAGGAATTATTTTAAAATAAATGACGCTAAAAAAACAAACTTAAAATATTCCTAGGCCTAGTATAGCACACATATGTACTATATTAGGCCTCAGGTATCGTATGTTAGGCCTAGGTTAGGTTAGTTTAATTTGTCAAAGCAACACAAGTAAAAAAATAGTTTTCCAGTTTGTCAGATTTCTACTTTCTAATTTCGTTGTACGTCGGTATACATACTATGGTCCTCATCGTTACTGTATGTATTACCAAAACTGGAGGATGGGATAATAAATACATGAGTTTTGTATAGAAAAAGCAAATTATACATATAAATAGATTTGTGCCTTAATTATATACTTATACTTTTAATAAAATTGTAATTGCAATTATTATTATTGTCTTGTTGATTATTATTATTATTATTATTATTATTATTATTAGTTCTATTGACTAAACAAATAATAATAATAATAATAATAGCAGAAGTAGAAGTAATATTATTATTAACACAAATAATTATTTTTTTAAATTTTATTAACAAAACTTTTATATGTATAATTAGCTATAACAACAAAATAAAAAATGTACCAAACATACGTGACAAAATTAAAATGATTATACGCATACATTACAATGTCTCAAATAAATAACATTACCTTAGCAACATCACAAGGAGCAGCAACACAGTGTTAGCGTCACCTAATGACATCTGTTCTATGCCACGTGTTACGTGACATCTGTTCCATGACAATGTGTTCCACGACATTTGTGCCATGTCAAGAGTGTTGCCGGGAAGGGAAGGGTAGAAATAGTCACAAGCTGCGGGGAGGAGTTCCAATGTTGGGCAGAATCCTTGATACATTTTCCCGTTACAGTTCTTTTGTGATTTCGCTGATGGGTGAGTGACGCACTAACAGTCTACTAGGTCACGAGTATATATGTATGTATGTATATATATATATATATATATATATATATATATATATATATATATATATATATATATATATATATATATATATATATATATATATATATATGTGTTCCGTACCTAGTAGCCGGAACGCACTTCTCGGCTTTGCAAGGCCCGATTTGCCTAATAGGCCGAGTGATTCTCTTTATTTTCAATAAATTGTTTCTAGTTGGTTTAGTTTAAATATTTTTATTATATTATATTAAGAACATAAATTATTGATTTAGTTATGTTAGTTTAGGTTAGGTTAAGATAGGTTAAGTTAGGTTAGGTAGGGTAGGAGTTAATTTAAAAAAATTAACTCATGCATAATGAAATGGATAGCTTTATCATTTCATATGAAACAAATTAGAAAAATATTGAAATTCAGGAAAATTTGACTTATATATATATATGTGTGTGTGTGTGTAAATCACGAAAAATAAACACGTGATTAAAAATGTGACAGTGTCAGACCATGGAGGAAAATTGAAACAGGAATATCCTTAAGTACTTTCGTATATTAATACATCTTCAGAAGGAGTGAAGATGTATATGTGTGTATATATATATATATATATATATATATATATATATATATATATATATATATATATATATATATATATATATATATATATATATGCGAACAAGCCTGAATGGTTAAGGTTAGTTTTCAGTCGCATATAGTCCTGGGACCATTCAGGCTTGTTCGCATTTGTGTTCCTCATGTGTGCCCCAAAGAATGAGGTGGTTTGGTGAAATGCTATGCCCAAGATTACCATCCGAGTTGCCGGCGGGGAAGTGGTTCAAATAGCTTCGGCTATCACTTCCTTTTGTCCGGCCGTGATGGTCAAGCGGATTAAGGCGCCCTGTAGTTACCAGTTGCGTTGCTCCTGGGAGTATGGGTTCGAGTCACTTCTGGGGTGTGAGTTTTCAGTCATATATATATATATATATATATATATATATATATATATATATATATATATATATATATATATATATATAGAGAGAGAGAGAGAGAGAGAGAGAGAGAGAGAGAGAGAGAGAGAGAGAGAGAGAGACAGAGAACTTCTAGACACACAACACCCACCATATATATATATATATATATATATATATATATATATATATATATATATATATATATATATATATATATATATATATATATATATATATATGTCGTACCTAGTAGCCAGAACGCACTTCTCAGCCTACTATGCAAGGCCCGATTTGCCTAATAAGCCAAGTTTTCCTGAATTAATATATTTTCTCTAATTTTTTTCTCATGAAATGATAAAGCTACCCATTTCATTATGTATGAGGTCAATTTTTTTTATTGGAGTTAAAATTAACTTAGATATATGACCGAACCTAACCAACCCTACCTAACCTAACCTAACCTATATCTGTAGGTTAGGTTAGGTAGCCGAAAAAGTTAAGTTAGGTTAGGTTAGGTAGGTTAGGTAGTCGAAAAACAATTAATTCGTGAAAACTTGGCTTATTAGGCAAATCGGGCCTTGCATAGTAGGCTTAGAAGTGCGTTCTGGCTACTAGGTACGACATATATATATATATATATATATATATATATATATATATATATATATATATATATATATATATATATATATATATTTATATATATATACACACACTGAGGTGTTGTTTGTTGCCATCGTGTTCACTTCTTAAGTTTGGTATTCTTGGATTCTTCTTATTATTCTTATTAATTTTCTGTTGAGTTATAAACTATTTATTATTAATGGGAGTTTATCTTTCTTCCACTGGTCTACCAGTAGACTATTTATTACTGAGTAGTAGAGGTTTACCTCACCGCTTTTGGTCCATATTTAAACAATTTGTTATAAAGTCAGGTACCTTTGAAACTTATATTTATTTATATTTATACTACAAGGTTTACAAGTAAACCAATTATTATTTAGAAGTGCGGTTTATCTTTCTTCCGCTCATCTACTGGGAGACCATTTGTTATGAAGTTCACGGTCAATAAAGGCCCGAAATTATTTTTGAACTTTATATTTCATTATACTATTAATTGCCTATTCATCTCTCTCTCTCTCTCTCTCTCTCTCTCTCTCTCTCTCTCTCTCTCTCTCTCTCTCTCTCTCTCTCTCTCTCTCTCTCTCTCACACACACACACACACACACACCTCGAGGTCTTGCGGCTGAGTGGACAGCGCTATGGGGTCGTAGTCCTAAGAGCCCGGGTTCGATCCCCAGCAGAGGCTGAAACAAAGCGGCAGAGTTTCTGTCACCCTGGTGCTCCTGTTTACTTAGCAGTAAGTAGGTACCTGGGAGTTAGACAGCTGCTACGGGCTGCTTCTTGGTGATCGTGTACTCACCGAATTGTGCTTACGGGGGTTGAGGTTTGGCTCATTGGTCCCGCCTGTGTGTGTGTGTGTGTGTGTGGTGTGTGTGTGTGTGTGTGTGTGTGTGTGTGTGTGTGTGTGTGTGTGTGAGAGAGAGTGTGTGCGCGCGCGCGCGCGCGTATGAAGTATATGTTGTAGACACAAGAAGAAAAATATAAAATCGGTTAGAAAGGCGGAGTCCAAGAGCTAATAGCTCGATTCTTCAGATACAAATAGTAAATACAAATAGTAAATACACACGCTTACCTTGAAGTCAGCGTAATCATAATAAAATCCGAGGGAAAGATATGTGACTTCATCAAACTTGCAACTAAACTTCTATATTCAAATTGATATGTAACATTCTATTTGCGTCTTTCTATCCACAATTTATCGAAGCCTGAATATTCAAGTAAGCGTAATCATCATCAAATCTGTGGGTAACATATGTGGTAAACTATCTCATCAAACTTGCAAATAAACTTCAATATTCAAATTGATATGTAACAATCTATTTGGGTCGTTCTATCAACAATTTACCGAAGCCCAGAAAATTCTGGTAAAGTACATTTTGTTGCCTAAGTAAAAGCTGGTGAGTTTAGCCTTATGTAAACTCAGGTCGAAGAAGAAGAAGAGTTATACGTAGATAACACAGGACGAACGGGCAGAGGTATACTCTGATAACAAGATGAACAAGGAGAGGTATACTCTGATAACAAGATGAACAAGGAGAGGTATACTCTGATAACAAGATGAACAAGGAGAGGTATACTCTGATAACAAGATGAACAAGGAGGTATACTCTGATAACAAGATGAACAAGGAGGTATACTCTGATAACAAGATGAACAAGGAGAGGTATACTCTGATAACAAGATGAACAAGCAGAGGTATACTCTGATAACAAGATGAACAAGCAGAGGTATACTCTGATAACAAGATGAACAAGGAGGTATACTCTGATAACAAGATGAACAAGGAGAGGTATACTCTGATAACAAGATGAACAAGCAGAGGTATACTCTGATAACAAGATGGAACAACGACAGTTATGCTTCAATAACACACAACAGCATTTACCGAAATTATTATTAAACAATGATAATCAGCAATTACTTAGATCAGCGTCTTTTATTATTATTGCATAAATAAATAAATAAATATATATAAATATATATATATATATATATATATATATATATATATATATATATATATATATATATATATAAAACGAAGCACGCTATATACGCCTACAAATCTCCGTAAGAGACACATTCGTAACAAGTTATGGGAGTTTTCGTAACCCAGCAGCGGAGGCATGAAACATCGACTAAGAAGTACGTAGTATAACCAAACGAAAAAAAAAAGATTCATTATTTCAAGTGTTTTTATTTATTGCAATTACAGCAGTGGTAGTAGTGGAAATAGTGGCAGTAGGAGTATGTGTTGTAATTTAATTTATGATAGATAATTATAATATATATTTAATATCTATTATTTTATTTTTAGCAAATAATAATAATAATAATAATAATAATAATAATAATAATAATAATAATAATAATAATAATAATAACCTATATTTGCCATGGCGATAAAATACTAAAAGAACGTAGTATATATTTCTCATTACTATCAGTTCTACACAGAACCTGTAATTATGAGAGATATCGTGAAGAGCAAAGCTTAAATAACTTTTATAATTCTTTAGAAATGAAACAAATAAATCTCAAGGTCTTCAGCAGTTGGAAACCTCAAGTCTGTTCAAATTACGTTTCCAAGCAATAAAAAAAGGTATATCAATCAAGTTTACAAGCACTGAAGAATCCGTGCAAGATCAGTGTATAAATCGCGCCTGTCAGCTGTCAAAAATCCCTCAATTACCTCTTGAAAATCAGGGAATAAATCAGGGTTGGGCAGCAGGCGGTAAATCACGCTATTAGCGGGCGCAGGGCGGCGGCGGCGGCGGCGGTGGTAATGTGGCGTGTTTGGTGTATAAATTGTCGGCGTGTCGGCGCTACTCGGGCGCCATCCTTGTGGTGGCGGCCGCCGCCTTGCTGACATCCGCTCTGTCGCTGTCGTCCCCCGACGCTGTCATCACTACGGCGTCACCACCGTCGCTATCACCGCATTCATCACTATCACCGTCACTACCACCACCACCGTCACTACCACCACCACCATCACTACTACCACTACCATCACCGTCACTACCACCACCACCGTCACTACCATCACTACCACCACCGACACTACCACCAGCATCACTACCACCACCATCATCACTACCACCACCACAATCATCACTACCACCACCACCATCATCACTACCACCACCATCATCACTACCACCACCACAATCATCACTACCACCACCACCATCATCACTACCACCGCCACCATCACTACCACCACCATCATCACTACCACCACCATGACCACTACCACCACCATCACTATTACCATCACTACCACCACCACCACCATCACTACCACCACCATCACTACCACCACTACCACCACCATCAC